GATTCGATTGGCTGACGCTTCTGTCGAAGCTTCAAAAGTTGAACATTGCTCAACTTTCGTCGCGAGCAATGCGTCTGAAGCTACGCTTCGCTCCCACAATGCAGTTCGGCGAAACGTGACGTCACCCCATTCAAAGTGAATGGGCAGAAGCGTTGAAGCTTCAACGCACGCCGCCGTGTGGACGGGCCGTAATGGGTTATCCACCTCAGGTAATGCATGGCAGAGATTAAGATGAATTTGGCTTTTCTCCACCGGCTATATTCTTTTTTTAATGCCAAAGGCATTAGGTTTTCTGGTTGTCCCTTCAATCTCTCTCTCTTTCTGTTTCCTTTCTCAATGTTGCCTCGAGGGACATTTCTCTCTAAGTTTGGCACAAACGTCAAAGTATGAACATAGATTTTAGGTAAAGGTCACTGTGACTTCTCGTTAGGGCTTGAAGAGCCTTCTATACATTTGGCACAAACGTCCATTGGGACTCAATGATGAAATCATAAGAAAATGGTGGTCAAAGGTCTCTTTGTCCTTACAAAACATATTTTTGACCATGATTCAGTTTTCATTTCATACATTTCACACAAATCTCAACAAATAAAATGTATATTCTTGTCATATCAACTGTTGGATTGCTCATTTAGCCTTTACTGCCTTTGTCAGCTTTTACTTGTTGTGTACTTAAATATGAATTTAATGTTGATAACAAAAATGAAAAGATATGTGAGTCAAATCAAATACTGTCAACAACAAAAATCACCACTGACAGACATCATATCACCACTCCGTCTGTTTAAGTATTACTGAAATCGTTGTAAAAACAATTTGCTATTAGCAGTTCGTATTCTCAGTGTAGTCAGAACAATAGAGGCAAACTAAAATACAATCTGTCAGAACTCTCTATCTGTTAGGCTCAAAGAACAAAGCATCATCAGAATTTCAGATAAATGTAGCCAGGAACTTTAAATAGCTACTCCAGCTGAATAAATGTGACTTTGATTTCAAGTTTAGGGCGTCTTTTATTATATTTGTTCAACTTAGATTCTGCCCAAAGACTATCAACAATTCAACAAAAAGCAGTATTGATTATTGCTCGTAGAGCTATCCTGTCAAAAGCCTAGCTCAGGCGGACATGCAGCAGCAGCTGCACTGGAGAAACAGGCTCAAACTGTCTGACTTATTGAGAGTTCCTTCCTCCCGCCTGGGCAATGCACCAGAGACACAAAGAGAGATTCTCAGATTAAATGTAAAACTAGGGATGAATTGAAAAGGGGGCGGGCCTCACTCAGCAACAGCTTAATGATAATGTACATTTTTTGCATTGGCTCACCTGTCCAACACAATACAGTTGGCTTAAGGAAAGGAACAGGGTGTAAGGATTCTCTCCTTCAAAAGTGTAGAACTTTAAGTCCCTTGATTAAAAAAAACAAAACATGTTAAGTGGCAGATGGAGCAGATATGCATGGCTGCTATTTTTAGCTGATTTTAGCACATGGATTTCCATGTTTCTGTTCTCATCGCCTCACAGAATAGTTTCTGTTTCCTTTAAATGACAGTAAAGCCTTGTCTGTGTCCTTTGTCAGTAGCTGTAATAAGCACATGATGACAGCTGCTCAACCCCGCTATTCAACTGTCTGCTGAGGGCCCAGGCTCTGGCCCTGTGTGTGTGAGACAAAGTGTGTGTAACAGAGTGTAGGAAAGTCATGTCCTCACACAGTGGAAGTCTGAGACATTGTGTACTATAGATGCCACTGTTGAAGAACAATAGGCGCGTTCACACCAAGTACTTTTCCCACAGTAGTTCATGAGAACTTTAGTTCATGAGAGCTCCTTTAGTTCTGATGAACTAAAGCAGATCGCGTTCACACCAAAATGAGTTCCTGGGGGTGGATTAGGCAAATGAGCCGCTGACGTCACTTCTTCTTCTTCTGCTTTGGGTTTACTGGCAGGCCGCAAACAACTTCACGGCGAGTACAGTAGGTGGCGGTATGCACCTTAAAGTTGCAATTCGCCAAAAAACCGAGAGAAGAAGAAGAAAAAAAACTTCCGCTTCCGCTGTATGCTTCTGTTTACCTTCCGACCTCAGACACGGTATGGAGTTGACGTTTTGGTGGTCGTGTTATACAGCTTCGTAACTGAGTTATTTAAGCCAATAACTCAGCCACAAATACAAATACAGATCGACCATTCAAATGCAATAGAAATGCTGAGTCGGAGGCGAAGGCGGTTAAGAAGCCTTAACAAAAGGATTGGACGACGAAAGCACACGCTATGGACATGTTTCGCCGTAGGACAGCTGAGGATGATGGCCGTTATCACGCCCAAAGAACAGCAATGGTACGTTCATTAAATCACATTAATACTATCTAATGTAGGATTTATGGAGTTATGTAGGGCTAATTTGTGTCTTTGTATGTGTTCCAGATATGCGAATACTACGGAACTCTGGGTGAACAATAGAACGTCGGCCTGGTGGGAGGTGGTGCCAACGTACAGTGGATCAAAGATTTCCGAATGTCCAAGGGCTCTTTTCAACTCCTCTGTATTCGCCTGGAAGCAACGTTGGGGAGAGGCATCTGAACAGCATGGAAATTGTAAATTGACAATAAAGCTGATCTTTTGGACAGTGCATTTGGTTCTCTCTTTTATTTACCAGTCAACAGACACAATTACAATAGTGCAGACACACCTTAGTGCAAAGATTAAATGTCAGTATCAAAACAGTACTCATACTGTATATTTGTATATTAATGAGTATATTATTATGTTAAATGTGTGTTAAAGACAATGGGATGAGGTTGAAAGCTCTTTAAAAACGTTTGTATACATACATGTTAAGCATACACACCTGAAGAACTACATTACACACACACAGGTTAGTCTGTGTACCGCTGCACTGCTGCTGGTTTAAACAAAGACAGTCATGATGCTAGTGCTGTGCATGTAGGTTCTCTTTTATTTATCAGCAGCAGATCAATAAGTGTCAGTAGTATCAAAACAATATAATAACAGTGGCAATATATATATATATATATAATAACAATAGGTAGGCTCAGCAGCAGACACACCTTAGTGCAAAGTTAGGTGTCAGTATTAATAACAGTGGCATATATATATAATCACAATAATACAAAATTAACTGTCCCAGGTGTAGGCAATTTGGGGTGAAGTGTCTTGCCCAGGGACACAACGACGTCCTGACTGCAGTGGGGTTTGAACCTGTGCTCCCCTGATCCGAACACCAACGCACCAGACCACTGCACCACACGCCTCCCAACAAGTCATTGTACAGTTTATCAACGACAAGTTTTTCTTAATTTTTGTATTGAAAGCCTGTTGGATTTAATCAGCTCGCTTAGCACTGCCAGAAGCCCAGCCTGAAAGGTATTGTGTTGCTCCACCTCGATTCCTGGGCCTTGTGTGAATGCAGCAGCCGTTCGTCGTGCATCTCCTTGGCACGCAGGTCCTCATTCTCCTTGCTGACCATGGCACGGCGGTCCATCGCCATGATGGTGTCAAGGAAGCTGTCATCCCGTGCCCACTTTCCTAAGGTGAAATATGCAAGATACAAGATCAGTTTAATCGCAACAACGAGGCAAAATGTTGATTAATAGTCCAGTTTACTCTGAGATAGAAGATCAAACCGTTTTCATGTAATCCTTTTATTTATACATCACATATACTGAGGTAGCTGGGCCAATCAAGCTTGGAATGAAATATCGAAATTACATCTCTCTTTGATATTGACTACAATTATTGCTACAATGCATCAATTCATTATCAAGCAAATGACTTGTGCATGAACTCTAAGCAGCGGTGATGCAATACATATTTCGATTTACTTTTACTTATTAATAGTTATATCACCTTCTTCTTCTTTCAAGGCCAGAGTAGTTACAGTGTAAGTGGATTGACATCTAACATAACATGGCTGAGTACAATTATAACAATCAATAAAAAAAGGAAAAATAAATAGAATTTCAATTACATTTCTACTTAAATGTGCAAAAATATTAGAACATCAGTCTTTGTGGCATGCAGGTAATCAACTGTTTAAGCTTTTACCATTAACATGTAGAATGAATGTTGCAAATTACTTGAAATTATAGCAACTAATGTATTGTTAGAGGTAAGAATACAGAGGTAGCATTATGTCCAGCTAGCATGCTAATTGCTAACGTTATATTATCGTTTTATCCCGGAGGGGAAAACTAGTTTCTAATCCTGAGAGAAACACCTCGCCTGAAACACACGATTAGTGTCATGAGTTAGTGAAGCAAATTACAGAACATTGCACACTTATTCACAAGTCAAAACGTGTTCATAGCGGGCATGGCTGAGAATAGCTAGCTAGCTAGATGTTGTTAGCCAGCTTGGACCTAACGTTAGCAAGTTCTAGCATGGCTAGCTCGATCTACTGAGCAAATAAAAGTACATCTAAGACCAGTATTGTGCAGATTAAAACAGTGCAGTGCATGTATTTTATTTATTATTTTACCATGGTAGTCGTCCCGACATGACTTTGCCAGGTCTGCTAACTTTGCAGAGCCACGGAAAACTGCATTCAGTAGAAGCTTCTGAATGCGGCGCTTCGCGTCCTCCGAGTAAATCGCCAGAAGCGCCGAGACATCCTCATCAATTCCACCGCTCCGATGATTTATTTAGTGTTGCTATAATAACTGCTTTCACAAAAGTAATCTCTTCGGGTACGCTGCCCGAAGCGAGCAAATACAATGGCCGCTTCCAAAAAAAATTCAGAGTCAAACGGGCGTGGTTTGCATTCCGCACAGCCAATCACACGTACGAACTATTTTCTCCCACGACGTGTGTGTGTGTGTGTGTGTGTGTGTGTGTGTGTGTGTGTGTGTGTGTGTGTGTGTGTGTGTGTGTGTGTGTGTGTGTGTGTGTGTGTGTGTGTGTGTGTGTGTGTGTGTGTGTGTGTGTGTGTGTGTGTGTGTGTGGAAATGAAGCACGAATAAACTTGTCAATGTTGTCCTCTTCCCCTCTAGTGGGTGCTGGCCTTTGAGATCTTCATCCCACTGGTCCTCTTCTTCATACTCCTGGGTCTGAGGCAGAAGAAGCCAGCGATTCCTGTCAAGGAAGGTAGGCAGTGGATCTACTACATATTTGAGTATACTCTTAAAGGGTAAAAGGATTACCCAATACACGCACAATGTCCTTGTGTTTGCTGAACATTTGAAAAGAGGGCTGTTTATCTCAGCTCATCTAAAGTTAACTTTTCAGAGATACGTGGTTCTGACAGCAATGCTAGAAACATGTAATGGAACTAAACAGTATGCATTGCTGTCGGTCCATACAAGAAAATGAGAGTTGGAATGATAAGTTTGCCTGGACCTGCCTGCAGTCATAAAATATATTTTAGAATTCTGTGCTGAATGGTCATGCATTCTAAAAATATGTGTAATCTGCTGCTGTCACCAAGGTGATGTGATGCATTCCACCATGTAGCTGTTGTGTCCTTAGGCGCTGTGAGACTGACCGTTGAGCGCAGACTCAAGACTTTTGGGGGCCCTAAGCAAGCTTTGGCTTGGGGGCCCCCCTCACTCTAGCGCGTTCTCACACGGAACCAACTTTTGTCTTATGATGTTAGCATAAGCACACATATTGTATAAATAAGCATGTAAACACTGTGGACCTAACATCCTCTAGGGGAGTCCTCACCTCCTCTAGGGGGGTCCGGGGGCATGCCCCCGGGACGATTTTTTTTAAATATTGAAATTAAAAGCATCAATCTGGTGCACTTTGAGAGCAACATTAAGAGATCTATGGATACATCTCTCAACACCCATATGAAACAGAACTGTAAACAGATTTTTCTTGATGGATATTTTACAAATCACTCCCCTTTCAAACTGTATTCTTGTTTTACTGTCATATAGTATTTCATAACTGTTATTCATTTATTCTCTCTGGCTGTCCATTTCATAATGTTCACATAGAAACTAGCTGTCAATAGGAATATCATTCAGAAGAATTATAATTTCATGCAAAAATCTGTCAAAAAAAGAGTTGCCCATTTAAATTCAGGTGTTGTTATGGCAACGTCAGTGGCCAAACAGCCACATTTACTGCTGCAAATACGTTCAAACATGCTGTCGACACGTAAAGCAGTGGCAACTATGCCACCATTTCAGCTGACTTTTTCTCAGAAATACTGTCACATAACATCCATATATTTCAGTGCTAGGTTGATGCTTAGCTAACTATGAAACACTTTAACTGACAGGACTCAGGATCAACTGTGTACTGTAAGGTAGCTTCTAGCTTCATGTCGACCAGTAAGTCAACATTTCCCAGAGAGCTTTCTCTGAAATCACCAGGTAACGCTAAAAAACATTACATTTAGATTGTATGACAAAGTGTTTATTTAATATATCTGGCTAGCTATAGCTACTTGCTAACGGTTTAGCTCACCCCCGCGATTCAAAGTAACGTCAACGTAGCTGTAATGTATGCTTTGCTTACATGTTCGCAGAACTTGGAAGTTTACTGACATTTACATACCTTGTTTACCTGGCTCAAGTGGTGGCTCTGGGGTTGTTGTGTGAGCCACCACTTGAGAATTGTCGTTTTTTTAAGAAAACACGTTCTTATGTCCATCTTCAAAAACTCTGAGTCCGACTGACAGTTTATTTTAAACATTGTCACAGGATAGATACCTGTCAGCCAATAAGACAGATGTTTATTTCCATGCAACTCTCTGGTTGGTCTGGTGTCTTACACTCCTGCCGTCCTCTCTAGTGTCACGATGAGGTTCAGGTAAAGCACGGTGAATGTATTATATGATTGACTGAATAATATAATACATGACTTTGAGAGTAGGCAATCTAGGCATATTAACAAAATTAATTAAACATACTTATCACGGCGACGGTGTACTGAGATTATTATTTTATATTTTTTCTTTTTTTTTTCTTTTCTTTTCTTTTCATTTTTCTTTTTTTTTTCATGTTTTGCTAGGGGGCCCCTTGTTCTCAACGTGTTGGATGGACCAGTGTGTAAGTTTCATCATGACTTAATTCTATCCTCAAACCTGGCCGTGTACTACGAAGCCAGGTGAACTAACCCAGCGTGTCTGTTTGTTCTCTGGCTTCACTCACCCTAACAGACCCTTCTAACCATTGCTACGTTGCTGGCTATCACCTCGGTAAATTCAATTATGATTAAGTTAATCACAAACATGACCAAGCGTACTGTCAGCAGAACATCATATTTCACAAGTGACTCACTAATGGCGCATTTCCACCATGGCGCGGAGCGCGGTTTAAGCGTGCCGTGTCGTGCCGGGCCCGCTTTTGGTTGCGTTTCCACTATGCCTAGTTCCGGCCCGGGGGTACTTTTTCACCTCTTTTCTGGCCCGACAAAATTGTGGTTCTATCGGGGCCAACAAACAGGGCTGAGTCGGGCTGAGTTTGCTAAACTAGAGAGAGAATCGCTGGCAAGGGGGCTACAACTACAACAAGATGAACATATTTGACCGTGATTTAATTGTAATACACGTTTCAAAATGATGCCGAAGTAACAACATACTGATACCGGTTAGTAAAAACCATGAATTAATGCTTTGACAAGTCTGCAGACAGACGGCAGGTGAAAAACCTTTTAAAATGCGTGTTTTCTAAATGGAGATTGGCTAAGCTAACGCAATATATGCTCCGACCGTCCACACTCACAACAACGGCCTATACAGACATAAATAAACCAGCGACTGTATTCGCCATGACACAGACAGTCTGTGGTTTGTACTTGTTTAACTTTTGTCTAGTTTCTGAACATATATGAGGAGCTGTGAGCTCTGAGTGCTAACAGCTAACGGCTGTGTTGTTTTTCTGGGGTTCTCATTGAAGATGACGTCACGGCTCCGCCTACACTGCGTTACTATAGATACTACCCCAGTTCCTAAACTGTAATGGAAATGCGCCATAAAGTGAGCCAGTCCTAATGAGGCCTAGCCATACCGAGCGAGGCCGAGCGAGGCCGTGTAGTGGAAATGCGCCATTACACACACCCTGCCTGGTATATGCCTCTGACCCCGGCTCACACTCAGGTAAACCGTGCTCTGGTTGTGTGTTTCTCTCCCTGTGTGTTCACTGTATGTTCACCTAACTCTGAGCCGTGACACATCTAGCCTTTAATTATTTATTTTAACACTTTTCCAAAAGGTTGCTCTCTGTTTCTCTGCAGTGCATTATATTGTTGTGACTTTGTCTTTGTCTCCTTTATGAAGTGCCTTTTATTTCAGGTATTTATTGTTCCATACAGCGAAGTTTGCACCTTTAAGTCCACGTTTGACCAATATCAGTTGGTGTGACAGTACTCTTCAAAGGGTTCACGAAATATGACTACTACTCTTACTGTTTAACATTTTGGGTTACTTAATGTTACTTCATGTTAAGGCTAATAAAAATGACAAGGCTAAGGCTGTAATGCTAACTAACGTGCTTGCTACTAGCTAGGTAGCTAACTTGATCCAGCCACTCCTGGTCCTTTCATCAGACGGGAAGTGAAAGAATGAGCAAGACCCATTGCTGGTATGATAACAACCTGGTACTAAGCACACAGGCATCTTGTTAAAGTTATCTTATCCTAGCTATCTCTTATTTAGTGGAGGAAAATAATTGTGACATCAGTTATGACATCACTTACGCGACTCTGGGATTTGTAGTCTTTCTAGTTGCGTATTTTTCATAGTCTTATATTTCAACAGTTTTACGACAAACTGTGACTTTTTTGACATGGAAATGATTTTTTAAGATTGACAAACATCATATGTGTAATTCATGGCACAATTCAAACGGGATCGAAAGATAAGTTTTCTCTCTCCATTGACTTCAATACATAATTTTTCCGAAATAAGGTCCCATGGACCGGAAGTAGATGGGCGTGACTTTGCCACTCTATACCGCCTACTTTAGGCTTCTCGGCAACTCTGCAGAATCCTATGGGTGACGTCACGGACACTACGTCCATTTATATATACAGTCTATGGTCCAGATCCATAACAATGTGAAGATTCTTGGAATGGCCTCAGTTATGGAGACAATTAGTGAGTATAACTCTGTTGACAGATGGAATATAAACAGTTTCAGACCACTTTCAGCAGCACAGTAACCATGGAAACATTGGGCTACTGGCAAAAGCGAAGTTTTTTTGTTTTCCGGTGGGAGGGCTTCTTTCATAGACTTTTATAGACGAGGAAAATGTCTTCGGCCATTTGTGTTCAGCAAAGTGATGAAAGGCCTTCTCTCTCCTCTCTAACTCTAACACAATCTCTCACTCTGCTTCTTCATCCTCATTGACCTGGTGCGCCTCATACTCCTCTTATCTGTACTGTGCAGCGTTCTACAGCGCGGCCCCCCTCACCTCTGCAGGAATCATCCCTATCATGCAGTCTCTGTGCCCCGATGGACAGAGGGATGAGTTTGGTTTCCTGCAGTACAAGAACTCTACGTAAGTGGATTTTCATTTCAGCATTCACTTATCAGTCAGTATGTTCACATTTTGTGAAAACTCTGAGACTCAGCTAAGATAGTCCCTCAGCAGGGGGCGCACATTGCCGGTCATGCCAACCATCATGTTAGTATGTCACCGCATTAGCCCACTGCACCACAGCGGACCAAGCACATTACATTTTCACTTTCATGATTTATTTTATTGCCTAGTCTGTCTCACCTTTTATCGATGCACCAATCTTTCAACCTCAACCATACAAACGGTTTTGCAACATTTCTCACCAAATTCCCTTTAACATTTAGAAACACCTTTGTAACTTTTCCTGCAAACTCTCAAGGTTGACAGATTGGTTGCAGACATTAGTTTTCTATGAAGGGCCGTGTAGGCCAAAATTCCAACTAACCTCGCACACACACTACTGAAAACATCTGGCCTTGCACACACACACTACTGAAATACTCTCACATTCACTAGTGAACACCTCACACACACACAACTGAAAATTAAACCTCACACACTTACTCCTGAAAATTAACCTCACACACCCACAACTGAAAATTAACCTCACACACTTACTACTGAAAATTAACCTCACACACACACAACTGAAAATTAACCTCACACACACACTATTGAAATACTCTCACATTCACTAGTGAACACCTTGCATACACAACTGAAAATGAAACCTCACACACACGCAACTGAAAATTAACCTCACACACATACTACTGAAATACTCTCACATTCGCTACTGAAATCCTTACACACACACACACACACACACTCCTGAAAACATTTTACTGAAAGGTTCTCAGTAGGGAATGTGCATGTGTTTCACCGATGTGTGTGAGGGGGATTCTTGCTGTAACGGAAGTCATTGTAATGAAACGGAAGTACCAAGCTGCTAGTGGTCGCTCTGCTAGCTCCAGGGTGCTACAGGGGCTCAGCTGCTTCGCTGATCCGGAGAACACAACTTGAACTCGGTCGTTTTCTTTGTGTTGATGCCTGGTGGAGTATTCTTCATTGAAATATCTGACTTATCTTATGGCTCTGCGGTTAAAACAGACCGTCCATGAATGCAGTTTCTTCGGTAAGTGAAATTCAAGCACTTTATTTCTTACTGGTGTTTTTATTCAGCTAAGCTACATCTGTGCTAACGATGCTATCCGTAGCATCCAAGTTTTAATAGAGAAGTACATAATAGAGAAGTGTAAAATATTAAGAAGGATTTTACTGTAGAACAAAAGGCTTCTGTTTGAGGTTGGTATAATAAGGTCATCCTCGTACATTAGTTAGTTTCCTAGTTAGGTAACTGTATGCATTGATATTGTTAATTTAAATTTGCTATGCTCGACGATGCAGACAGCTAGCGTCACAGTAGTGTTGAAGACCAGCGTACTGTATATGGATTAACCTCACTATAAGATCTGTGTATTTAAAAAATATGAATCTCACATTTCCAGTTGGTTCCAGAAATAACATTAACGTAGATATTGCAATATGGTTTGTTGAGCTGGAGTTAATTATTGAAGCTTACTGGTTAACGTTACCATCATAATAAACGAACAAACCCAAACCTTGTTGTTTTTATTAATATTATTACCAATACTTACTTAGCATTTTATTATCATTACACCGGAGTAACCGACTTATTGTGGCAGCAGAACGTGAACATGTAACTTAATGCCTGCATTTAACGATGATAGCGTAGTCAATGCTTTAGTACGGTGGCCCTGGTCAAAACAGCATTTCAGGAAACACCACAGCATTTCAGAAAACACCACAGCATTTCAGAAAACACCACAGCATTTCAGAAAACGCTACAGCATTTTACAAAACACCACAGCATTTCAGAAAACGCTACAGCATTTCACAAAACGCCACAGCATTTCACAAAATGCTACAGCATTTCACAAAACGCTACAGCATTTCACAAAACACCACAGCATTTCAGAAAACGCTACAGCATTTCACAAAACGCCACAGCATTTCACAAAATGCTACAGCATTTCACAAAACGCTACAGCATTTCACAAAACGCCACAGCATTTCACAAAACACCACAGCATTTCAACTTATACGGAAAGGGTATTCCTTTAGGGAGAACACTTCTTGTTTGTGATTGGACAGAGCCAGCCAGAGAAGCACTGCTGTGATTGGTTGTTTTAGCTGCCAGTCAAGAAATGACGCTTCGTGATTGGTCAGCACCTGACAACGCAACATGTCCCGAAACATCAGCCGTTAGCTGTTAGCACACACAGAGCTCACAGCTCCTCATATCTGTTCAGAAACTGGACAAAAGTTAAACATGAACAAACCACAGACTGTCTATGTCATGGTGAATACAGTCGCTGCTTTATTTATGTCTGTATGCCGTTGTTGTGAGTTTGGACGGAGCAGCTACAGGTTGCTTTATCCTGTTCGATCCGATCTCCATTCAGAAAACACGCATTTTAAAAGGTTTTTCGCCTGCCGTCTTGTCTGCACACTTGTCAAAGCATTAATTCATGGTTTTTACTAACCGGTATCAGTATGTTGTTACTTCGGCATCATTTTGAAACGTGTATTACAATTAAATCACGGTAAAATATGTTCATTTTGTTGTAGTTGGTATCTACCAAAGTATTTGCATGGATATAAGCCCCGCCCCCTCTCCAGCGCGTCTTGTTTGAATGACACAGCTGACAGCCGCGGTGAAACCTGAAACTCAAGCGATTAGAGCAATGCAAATATTCGGGGCTTATATCCATGTAAATACTATGGTAGACTACAACAAAATGAACATATTTTACCGTGATTTAATTGTAATACACGTTTCAAAATGATGCCGAAGTAACAATATACTGATACCAGTTAGCAAAAACCATGAATTAAGGCGAGACACCCCAGGTGAATAGGGTCATTTTTTTAACTTAAAGATATTAGCTAGACATTTCTCCAGTTAATTACTTACAATAAGGCAATTGTTTTTTGTATTACAAGTTTTCTGAAATAGCATGTTTAAATATGCAAATGCCCCATTATCTCATGAAATATGCGCATATTTTAACACATTTCAGGAACCGAAATCTGAACTCTGGATAAAGCCAGGATCAAAATTATTGTTTCATTTTGTAGTCATATTAGTATCTAAGGCTTTTACAGAAGGGATTTTGGATATCTCTTTGTATCACTCCATAAATCAGAAAATAGCCCTAAAATATCCATTTTCACCATGTTTTTAGGTATAAAATGTTATATAATTCAGGCTATGAATTATATATGACCAAACCCTTCTGTAAAAGCCTTCATAATATTGATAGGAATATAACTGGAAGGTTTGGTGTATGCAACTGCTACTGAAGTGGAAATTTCGAACTCAGAGTAGGAGAAAAAACTCATTTTGAGAAAACGACCTTTAAAGATTGCAGTGTGACGCTAGCTAAACCCTCCTGTTATCTGGATGATAGCTTGCGCATCGACGCACTCCCTGAAGGTATTTCATGTTCGGGGTCATTTGTTTTTTGTATAACCTTGCTTTGTGCAAGTGACAATTGTTTTCGTCTTCTCTGTGAACGTTTTTTTCGCCGTTATTTTCAGATTTAAGTTTCTAGCGGAAAGCTAACCAGGAAGTGCTTTAGCACACCACGTGACGCATCTGAACGAATCACGTTGTCAGAAATTGACACCAGCCAATGAGATTTCGTTTCTTGGTTTAAGACCCCTTTGTACTTTCACGATTGGTTGCTGATACAAAGGAAATGACCATATTTGGATCCGATGAGATTGTGCAAGAGAGACGGAGCTTTCCAACGATACCTCTGATGACATGGTGCAAACAGCGGTCGCGGTACTTTATGTTACGTTAGAATGCTAACTTTTGGTGAATTTAGGAGAAATCTACAGACGCAAATGGACAAACTATCGTAAAATAAACACTTAAATGTGTATTTTGTACGTTTTCCTTCCAAAAGCCTGAAAGAAAACATGTTGTGGAATCAAAATAGCACAAAATCTCAAAATTGACCAGTGCAAGTAAAACGATGTTTTTGCCTGCCGTGTCTCGCCTTAATGCTGTGACAAGTCTGCAGACACGCGTCCAGGCGACGCCCCTGGTCACCCCTCTTAAATGTACTGCAACTGATCTTCCAATTTCTGATCACTCATTAATATCCTTTACTGTCACCTTAACACTGTCCAAACCAAATCTGTCACGTGTTATTTCCTTCCGCAACATCAAGGATATTAATTTAACTACACTCTCCGGTGGCATTGACAACCTCCCCAGCATAAATTGTTCATCCCCGCCTGATGAACTGGTTTCTCATTACAATAACAATCTTCATAAACTGCTCCTTTAAAAACCCGGTCTGTTTCCTTCACCCATTCTGCTCCTTGGTTTACACCTGAACTACGCCAACTCAAAACAAAAGGCCGTCGATTGGAACGCCTCTGCAAAAAAACTGGACTTGTCGTTCACAAAGAAATGTACAATAACCACATTCTCCACTACAAGGACACTCTCTCTACAGCCAAATCATCATATTATGCAGTTCTCATCAGCTCTGGCAAAGGGAACACAAGGGTCCTGTTCTCTACAGTGAAGAACATTCTACGACCACCGGACTCTCTTGCACCTCATCAGTATTCAACTGCCTACTGTAACTCCCTCATGTCATTTTTTAATGACAAAATAGAAAACATTCACCAGCAACTAACTCCTAACACCACCTGCAGTATATCTCTCCCTGTTTTCACCGACCCTCTCTCTCATTCTCTTTCAAGTTTCACACTTCCCTCTGCTGTTGTAATTATTTTATTTTTTATTTAACCTTTATTTAACCAGATAAAAAACATTGAGATAAAATCTCATTTTCAATGCTGACCTGGCCAAGAAGGCAGCAACGTTACACATAACACATAACACAAACATATAAAATACAGAGAACATAAAGAAAACAAAAGACGAAAAAGCAGTCACTACATTGTGCACATTAGGACAATAAAAAAAGTAC